GGAGATGGATAAACTTGGATTCTGGGGCTGGCTGTACCACTCACTCAGGTCACTGAGCTTCTCTTAGCCTCAGTCTGTAAAATGCCAATAATGATAGCTACCTTCAAATTGTGTTGAGGATTCAGTCAGATGCTATATGAAAACAGCTTTGCAAGCTCTAATATGCCATACAACTGTAAAGTGTTTTATTTTCCAACTCTTTAAAGTTTCCCTGGGTGATTTGGCTATCTTCAAATAACTCACTAATGTCAATAAGTTTTTTTTTTAGAGGTAGCGAAGACTTTTTCTTTGTGTGGTTTCAGGTGATATATTTGCATACTGCCAGGCCACCTCCTGCCAGCTGGGCAGCTTACAGAAGCTTTTCACCCACATTATGTCAACTAAAGAGATGCCTTTGGGCACGTTACGTAAATGGGAAAAAAAAATTACAATCAGAGATGGCCATTATTACTTCTGAGCCTTTAAGGTTTTTTGTTAAAAAATCATAAATAAGCACGATCGAAAACACCCGTATCTTTTCCTTTCTCTGCGGCAATTATAGATTTAACTTCTGTGGGTTTTTGGAGGATATTGCCTTTGATGAGGAGCTTTAAAAGAAGGTGATGCCATGACAGAAGTCAGATGATGTTAGGGAGGACAGTAGGGATGAGGTGACGAAAGTGTTTCCCAAACCTCAGTATTTCGTACGCCAGCCAGCCTGTTTTTGGCATATCTACATATCAACTGTACTTTCTATTTTTAACCTAATATTATCTTTTAAATTATTTGCCTTTTTAAAACTTAAATACATTTCAAAAGGAGACTTTATTTTACCATTATACATGGAAAACCTGTGTCATTTGATAGAAATTGCAAAAAATTTGGCAATAAAATCTATCGCATCACACGCAGTCTTTCAATTCTAGCCTAGATGCTGCTGTCTGCCAAGGCCCTCAGTCTAAAGCCTGCTCCTTTCTTCAAAAAATGAGAGGCTGGCAAGTGTTAGGAGTCAAAGACCTTCTAGAACCAAATTGCTCGGGGCTCGGGAACACTGAGCATAGTTGCAGAGGGAACGCCTTCTCTGTCACCCAGCGCAATTGAATGCCTGTCCCTCCCTGCGAGGCCTCGGACCTTGTCTAATAATGCCATGGAGGGAAGACTGGGACATGTCCCACACTTGGGGCACCTAGGTTAGGGCTTGCTAGTGGCCATCTGGTGGTTTAGGGGCTGTGCCGGTAGAGAGAGATCTCTGCAAAATCTCTTTTCCAGAGCTGGGAAGGAAGCCGTTGTGGATACTGGGTATGGTGGGAATTTGCCCGGTTTGCAGTGAGGAGAGCCGGCTCCCTCTGCATTAGTTTCTTAGGCTGCCATAACGAAGAATCACTGAGTAGGCAGCTTAAACAACACCAGTTTATTTCCTCACAGTCCTGGGGGCCGGAAGTCCAAGATCAAGGTGTTGGCAGAGTGAGTTCCTCCTGAGGCCTCTCTCCCGGACTCGCAGATGGCCGGCTTCTCCCAGGGTCCCCACAGGGTCTTCCCTGTGTCTGGGTCATAATCTTCTCTTCCTTTAAGATGGGATGCGGACCCCCCCGCCCCGGTGGTCTCATGTTACTTTAATTACCTCCTTCCCTAAAGGCCTTTCCTCCAAATACGGTCACATTCTGAGATTGGGACTTCCATACATGAATTTGGGAGGGACACGATACAGCCCAGAACAGCCTCTTTTCCTTCTCCCGACACCCCGTATCTGACCCCACTCCCCGTGTCTCCCCGATCTCTGACACTCACCCTCTGTCCCTCATAGGATTGGAACCTTCTTCTGCCCTCTGCTGCCTTTTATCCAAATGATTACTCTTTTCATCATGTTTTACGTCAAAAACGTGAGTCAGTTCGACATGGGATCCAACCAGCTTTGCTCAGTCACGTGAGCCAGAGGTGGTTGGACTTGAGTGGGGGGAAGGGAGGCAGGAGGGGTATCAGGAAGCCAGTGTCTGCCTGGGGTCTCTCTGGCCTGCTCCCCTGGACACGCATGGAAGATGGCTGCTTCTCTCTCTCCAGATCAGCCTGATGATGAATTTCCAGCCTCCGAGCAAAGCCTGGCGGGCCTCACAGATGATGACTTTCTTCATCTTCTTGCTCTTTTTCCCGTCCTTCACCGGGGTCCTGTGTACTCTGGCCATCACCATCTGGAGGTAGGAGGTGGTGGCCTTAGGTCGAGATCTTAGAGATGGGGGCGAGTGTTTTAGAATGTAGGTTTCATTAGTATTCAGGTACGGGGAGGCCAACAGATCAGGAGACGACTCCCATTGCAAAGATAATTTGTTAAAATAAAAAAAATTTTTAAAAAAGGAGAAAAGGTAATTTGTTGTACTCACAGATCTGAGAAAAGGGGCAACACCACACAACGTAGGGGGATGGGAAGGTGCCAGGGCGGGAGAGGAGGCGGAGGGACTGAGGAGAAAATGCAGGCAGGAGCCTTCATCGTGGTTCCCATGGGAAGGAGTGGGTGAGGCAGGGTACCGGGCTCAGGATTGCTGGTTTTAACGATTTCCGTGGGCTTGGGGACACTGGGGCTGCCTGGAGTTGCCTGGCGGAGGGGCGATTAGGGGAGGGGACGGAATTGTGGTCCAGAGCTGTGAGAGCTTGTTGGAGGAGGGGGAGGGGGAGGAGGAGGGGGATGTGGGCTGCGGACTGGCCGGTTTGCATATGAAGGACCTGTTTTGCAGGCTAGCCCTGGGAAGGGCAGTCTCTCCAGGATCAGTCAGACCCCAGATATCAAAACATCAAAGAGGAAAGACGTGCCGAATGCCGCGTTTCACCCAAGTTCCTTAATAAGAAACAGACAGTACAACCCAGGGGGGAACACGTGTCCTCGTTAGGCGCCCAGGGTCGCGACGGGCACAGCTTGCTCACATCCCCCGGAGTGCAGAGCAGAACGTCATCTAAATGAACGGAACGGCCCGTCTGCTGGGGCCTCAACAACTGCACCCCGCTTCGGCTCCTCCCGACTGCAGGCCGCGCGGCTCCCGCTCCATTCCTGGGGCCACAGCGGCCCTCCTCACACGGTGGGGGGGGGGGCTCCTCACTCCCTTTGATTTCCACACTCTGCTTCTCTGTTCCAAAGTCATCTCCAGGATCTGACCTTCACGGCCGTCCTCGTCTACTGTCGGTTCCACCTCTGCTGTCTCTCGGGGCCGTTTCTTTTCTTCATTCCATAGTTCAGAGTCAGAAATGCCTTTGTCGGAATCTTTGTTTACCTGTTTACTCGTTCGTTGCCCGTCCTGCCCACCAGAACGTGAACCAGAGAGGGCAGGTACCGCGTGTGTGTCTCGTTTACTGTGGCGCCTCCAGGGCCTGTATCTACCACAGCGCCTGGTACAAGCACAATAAACGGAATGAATGGATGAGGGAACGAACCAGCAAAGGAGGAAGTTGCTCTGTAGGATGCGCAGCACTGGGACCTGCGGCACTTCGCGGTGCTGTTTCGCAATGTCCTTGCTGCTCTCCATTCTGTCTTTCCTGAACCAGTTCCTCGTTGCCCTCCAGTTTCTACTTATTCTTAACGACTGACCGCACGTGGCTACCGCTCTTACAACTGCAGCTTGCACAGATTACGGGGTCCCCTCTTTGGATTTCTTAGTTCGAATTCCCAAGAAAGAGAATCTGATCCCCTCTCCTCCTTCCCCCGGTTTGTCGCTTTGAGCCGGAATACAACAGAGGCCGCTGCCGGGCCTGTGGATTGCTGGCTACCTGTGGATCAGGTGGCACCACCATCCAGGAGGGAGTATGGGTCATGAACAGGAAACGTACCAGCCGAGACTGTGAGGGGTTCCTCCTGCGGGGTGGTGTGCGTGGAGCAGGCAAGGATGGCTGGTTCCAGGCCCAGAGGCCCAAAGGACGCCCGGACGCTAGAACGAACTATCCCCGAGTCTCCCGCTAGAAACGCTCTTCTGTCCTCTGATCTCCCAGGTTGAAACCGTCCGCGGACTGCGGCCCGTTCCGAGGTCTGCCCTTCTTCATCCACTCCATCTACGGCTGGATCGACACCCTGAGCAAACGGCCTGGCTACCTGTGGGTGGTGTGGATCTACCAGAACCTCATCGGCAGCGTGCACTTCTTTTTCATCCTCACCCTCATCGTGCTGTGAGTGAGCAGGTTGGGGAAGGTGGGGAGGAAACGGCACGACATGCGCACAGCCTTGAGAACGCTCGTTCCGTGGGAGAGCAAAGGGCCGCGGCATAGTCGAGCGTTCTGCGTAATCCCGATGCTGCCCTTGAATTCTTTAAAAAAGTTATTGAATAGATTCTTATCCTAGTTTTTTTTGTTGTTGTTTTTTTGGTTTTTTGTTTTTTTGGTGCTTGTTTTATGAAGAAAGCAATACCTGGCCTTCTCCTCTTAAGAGAGAACATCGCAAATAAAATGACAAAAATGCAGATGAGCATGCCCAAGGAAATTACATGTGCGATTCTTTCTGAGACTGATTCTCTCTGAGACCGTGATATATTAAAAGGGGTTGGGCGTTATCGATATATAGGATAGCGTATTTGTGTTTTCAGAGAGAAAAAGATTGATTTGGGACTTCTTGTGAAAAAGCAGATCTGCCGAGACGAGGCCCATTTCCTCGCGTGGACAGTTGGCTAGCTGACTCATGGCTGTCCCTCTTTAGAATCCCAGTCCTGATGTCACCTGAGAGTGCAGCTCCTCGTAGAGGGACACGTGGCTCTCAGTCAGGCCTTCCCTCCCCAATGCGGGCTGCCATCGGCCTCTTTAAAATGCTGAGTTCTCCTGGGGCCTTGCTCTTTCAAACTTCTAATTCACTAGGGAGCTCGTTAGACATGCAGAGTCTTGGGCCCTACCAGACCTACGGAATCAGAATCTGCTTTTTAACAAATTCCCAGGAAATTTGTATCACATTGAAGTTTGAATGGCACTGTCCAGATTCGTAAATTCTGGCTGCGCATTAGACTCCTGTGCATTTTGAAAATACCGATGTCTGGCCCCTTGCCCGGAGAAGCTCAGTTAATCGATCCAAGAAGAGGCCGTGGCATGACTCTCTTTCCCACCTCTCCGGTTATTCCATGTGCAGAATGGTGAGCATCATTGCTGTAACGTGTTTAACCTATAACCTACTGGATACAACTCCAGGAACGCAGTTGGACCAAACCATCTGCAAGCAAATATCCTAGTTCCTTTGCACCCCACTGGAATTCAGAGCCCGCGAAATGCTGGCGAAAGTGTCTGCCATGCTTTCTTTTCCTCTCTTTCAGAATCATCACCTATCTGTACTGGCAGATCACAGAGGGAAGGAAGATTATGATCAGACTGCTCCACGAACAGATCATCAATGTAAGTTCTGTTGGACCCCTGTCATTCTCCCCCATTTTAACATTTTATAATGAAACTTCCAAACGTTGTCCAAAACAGAGTAGTACGACGAACCCCCACTTGCCCACCACCCCGCCCCACCCACTGTCAACCTTCATATACTCCTATTTCATCGACCCTATCCCTTTGCTGCAAATCTCTGGATTATTTTAAATAGCATCTTAGACTTTATACCATTTTATCTGTAAAAACTTATATACGCCTAAGAGATACAGACTTGAAAAGAAACGTAACCACAATACCAATCATCGCACCTAAAAGAAAACTAAATAATTCCTTATTATCATCTAATATCCAGTCGAATGGTTTAATTTCCCTAACTGTACCCTTGAGTGTCTTTTTATGGTAGGATCGTTCAACTCAGGATCTCAAAAAGTGCCACAGCTTGTATTTGGTTGATACGTCTTTTATGTGTCTTTCAATCTATAACCATTCACCTCTTCTCTCTTTTCTTGTCTTTTGTTGTTGAAGAAACTAGGTCATCGTCTTGTAGTAGTTTCCATATTCTGAATATAACTGATTTACAATCCTCTGGTACCATTTGGCATGTTTCTTTTTACTTTTTATTTTCTGCAAACCGGTATTGAGATTTAGAGACCTAATTAGATCCAGATTCAACTTTTTAGCCAGAATACTTCATAGATGATGTTACACACTTCTTATGGCATCGAGATATAAGATGTCTGATTGTCTTTTTGTGTGTGTGGGATGTTGAGAGTGATCAGTGGGTCCATGCTTTGTCAGCCTGACCCAGCCATCATACAGCTCCCCATCAGCCTTCTACCTAATGGACGTAGCAGTCTTTGATGAGTATTGCCTAGAAGATCCATTTATTTCATTAGAGATTATAGTGATACTCTAATTCTAGAACTTCTGTATTTATTAGCTGGAATTCTTCTACAAAAGAAGACTTTTTGCTCACCAACTATTCGATTACCTTGACATATAGTTCACACAAGAAAGGGAAGGTAAATGCATGATTCTCCCCCTTTATTTACCCTTTTTTAAAATGTCTAGTGTATTTGTTCCCTAGGGTGCTATTAAAAAAATTACCACAAACTGAGTGGCTTCAAACAACAGAAATGTATTGCCTCACAGTTCTGGAGGCCAGAAATCTAAAATTAAGGAGTTGACAGGGTTGGTTCCTCTTGAGGATTTGAGGGAGAATCTGTTCCATGCCTCTCTCCTAGCTTCTGATGGCGGCTGGCTAAGCTTGGTGTTTCTTGGCTGGGACTTCATCTTCATCTATCTATCTCCATCTTCATAAGGCCTTTCTCTCCGTGTCTGTTTCTCTCTCTCTTCTCTTCCAAGAACTTGTCATTGGATTTAAGGGTTAGGATAACTTGGACATACCTTTTTAAAAGGGAGAAGACACTATTTAACCCACTTTACCTAGCAACCTCCAAATATGGCTAATAAGGATTTTAAGATTATCGTTATGCATTCGTATAGTTTGACATTTTTCACTTACAGTTATTTGTTTATGCTTAAATGGCCTCATCCTTTGCTGGCGGAAATCTTGAATTAGTTCACGGGTTCACGCGATATGACTTCGAAAGTCTTTGAAAGCTTCCTTGCTCCCTGGAAGGATAAGATTTCCAGACTCATCACATTCATTTCCTGTCCTGGAACAGGAATCAGCCGCTTCAATTTATTTAAGGAGTCTCGCCGAAATGGTATTTAGAGACCATAGTCTGGGTACAGGGATTACTCATCACTATGGGGCTGGTTCCTTTTTCTTCTAAATACCAGCATAGCCATGACATGTGAGCACTTACTTGTAAGAACATGGAAAGAAGCAGGACTCGCCAGGGTCCTATCTGCTCGAATCTTTGGGGTGTCCGATTATCTGAGTTGATTATTTCTGGAGTGTAAAGAAAGTGTGTGGTTAGGTTATGCTCT